GAGAGAGAGAGAGAGAGAGAGAGAGAGAGAGAGAGAGAGAGAGAGAGATAGAGAGAGATGTCTTCTTCTTCTGCTGCTGCTGCTGCTGCTGAGGTACGAGGGAGAGAGAGAGAGTTGACATTGAGACTTGGTGACATTCGGGCATTGCCCAGTTCAGTGACATTACGACTTGACATGGTATGAGCAGCAACATTGGGGGTACATTGGAGACTGGGTTCATTGGGCTATGGTGGCTGATCCTCCCTATCTCCCTCTTCCCCCCCTTCGTCTCTTCTCCTTCTTTCTGAGTGATGATGTATGCTGTCAGGTTCTGTCATTGCCCATGATGAGTCGGATCTTGGTATTTCAGTCTTCTGCTGTGCTATTTTTGTATTGTCTCTGAGGGGTCGGTTCTCGGTTCTGATCGATGCCGATTAGGCATGCGACACACATCTCTGCCTGCGTTGTGCACGGCCCTGGCCATTGCATGGCCGTTGTACATGCCTCTGACCACTGGGAGGTGTGGGACAACAGCATTTATTTTATTTTTTTTGGGGGGGGGAACACCGGCATCATGGTCCATGGCATGACTGATGTTAGGAGCTGTCGGACAACGGCATTTATTTATTTTATTTTTTTTGGGGGGACACCGGCATCATGGTCCATGACATGACTGATGTTACTGATTTCTTACATAACAAACTGTCCGCGATCTCATTTATGTTGAAGATCATTCCTCTGGGCCTATGCTGCAGCAGGATAATGTACCAACAATCTGTGACGTTCTCCTTTGCACAGCCACAGACACTGTTGCACTTGGGTGTACTCGCCATCATCTTTGTCACAATCACTACCATGAGATGGTTTCTGAATCCATGTGTGTAAAGGACTGTCCCTCCATTCGTGACTGCAGGCACCCTCTGCATCCAGACACTTCACGATAATGGGTGCTATACTGAATGTATGGTCTTTTGTGGTGAGCGTTCTTCTTTCATTTTGGCCGGACATGCCATTTGTTGAGGGTGTATGGTGGGCATGCTCAATGCCAGCCGTCATGGCAAGTGTTGTACTGAGAATGCTCAGGTAGGTCTTCCATGTGTTCATCCACCTCATCCTTACAATGTATGTCCTCTCTGTTGTCAAGGCCAAACTGATCCGTCAGCCTTTTCGTATCCTCCCCTTTGCCATCATCTCCATTCTACACTCCTTGCTTTCCCTTACCTTCCCTTTGTCGTTTTTTGTTTTGTCTTCTCTCCATCTCACTTCTCTGTGTTTATCCCTTCCCCTGTACTCCGCCTCTTTCTCACAGCGTACAAGTGGGCCGTTATGGCACACAGGGATGCGGGCAACTCGCACTTAACTTCATCAACGTGGCGAGCCTTGTACGTGAGAGGTGTAGTGAAGGGGGAGTTAAATGAGGGATGATAAAAATGAATGGTTTCAGTGTGCTCTTCATGTCTGTCCTGTGTACTTTTATCGTCTGTTTCACAAAGTGTGCTCTCTTTTAGTTCATCGATTTGTGACCTAGGCTACCAGAGTGGCCCGGGACCACTTGCCCGGCGGGGCCAAAAAATTGAAAAAAAACAAACAAATTATTTTATTATTATTTTATTTTATTTTAAATTTGTTAAAGAATTTCGATGTGACCCTGAGGCAGAAGTTGTTCATTTTATTTTTCTGCATAACATAGTTTTTTTTCCGGATTTTTTTTTTTTTTTTTTTGCTAGGACCTTCCCGGGTCCTTGCACGGCTTGAGCCACCCGGGAAAACAAGGCGACCCGGGCCGCCCGGCTGGTAGCCTAGTTTGTGACAATATATATGGCACCAAGCACCTGTTGTGGAACCTTACAAGGGGAGGAGGACCGTACATGCAATCTACACTACCTGGCACCTGGCTTGAGAGGAGAAAGAAGACTAAAATTGTGACAACATATGCGTCAGGGCGCCATGCACCACAGTTGTACTCCAGGATTAAAGAGCACAGCCACCTGGCTTGAGAGGAGAAAGAAGACTAAAATTGTGACGACATATGCGTCAGGGCGCCATGACAGTAGCGCAGCACCACAGTTGTACTCCAGGATTAAAGAGCACAGCCACTCACAAGACTGTGTAGGGGAGGGACTCAACTGCATCTTCCATATTCTCCAGGACACTAGGATAGGGGAGGAACACCTTGATAGACGGCATTGTAATGACCTGCCAAACACGGACTGAGACACGCAGCTGATTTCCAAGTTTTGCTCATAGAATGAATGCCTCACTGAGTTTCCCGCTTGTTACTGAGTTCTCTAAGTCTGTGTGTGTGTGCATGCTTGCTGGTCTGCATGCCTGGCTGAGTGCTTGTCGGCTTGAGTGTGTGTGACCCGCGAAGGCACTTGTTCGTTCAGACGGCCCGAAGGGCCGGTACTTACCTGTGGCCGTGACATTGAGGGTTGCAGCAGGGAAAACACTCAAGTGGCGGAGAAAGAGGCCCGCGACACCTAGAGCAGCGGAAAACACTCAAGTAGCAGGTAGGCCGGTACCACACCAGGTAGAGGTAGATGTGCCGGATACTCGAGGCCGAGAAGAAGAAGATAAACGTTGGCATTTTTAGAGGCCCAGTAGTTGTAGGCTAGGTCTAGGTGGGTACCAGTCCAACGAGCCTGAGTCTAGGGCCTGTACGGGCAATATCAGAGTCTGCAATGATGTTTCCCTCCGAAAGGGAGGAGGTACCGGTTGCTTGGAGGCTGCGCGGCCTAGGAAGTCACTCGCCAAGAGGCAAGCAGGCCGCTATATCTCCAGGAGGAGCAAGGTGCTCCTCCTCATTGTCGGTGTGCAAGTTTGGCGACACACTGGTTGGAGCGCTGGCTGGAGCAGCGCTGCTGGGGAAGGCGCAAGGACACGGAGGACGAAGAAGAACAGGACTAGGAAGGGGGAGCGCCAGAGGTACTTACCTGGCTATGGTGGTTGCCATCTTCATCACCTTGGTGGGCGCTGCAGCAGGAAGGCCCCAGTTGGGGTAGAGCTACACCAAGAAGCTTTGAGGCAGAGTCAAGCATGGCGGCCTGAGCTAGAGCAGCCATCGCTGCTTTGTGTTGTCCTTTGGACAGCAGGGCGATGCCCTGGTAGTCCGCCATAGCCTCGGCCTTGGAGGAAGGAGGAAGAAGGGTGGCCATGGCTATGGTGGACCTCATGTGATACATGCAGTAGAAGAGGAATTCGGACATTGATTCTGTTCCAGGCTCTCGGCCATCCAACATTATTATTATTATTTCTTGATTGAATAAGAGAGGAGGAGATAAGGAGGAGGGGAGTGGTTGGCGAAGAAGAAGAGCATTATCATTGGTCTATGCTGGTGTACATCATCTTCTTCTTCTTTCTTTCTTCTTCTTATTCTTCTTTCTTTCTTCTTCTTCTTCTTCTTCTTCTTCTTTCCCTCTCTCTCCTCTCAAGTTCATTCATTTCCTTTTGCAATTGGACGGCATTGTACTTTCTGATGAATGTGTACTTCGAAATTGGCCAGGATCATAACAGCTTGATTTTATTTTGAAACATCACATGCTCATGTGGCGATATATTGACTTGGATGAAATTGCATCTTTGCAGGTCATCAGATGTGTCAAGCATTCTTTCTGAAGTCGTGAGAGCGAGCGAGGAAGTTGCCCGACAAAAGGCTGTGTCTGTGCACTATCGTCACCTCCCGCATGATGGCATAAATCTGATGGCTGCTGTTGAACCGTCTCCTCTACGCCAAGCACTCTGCAATTTAATTGACAATGGGCTCCAGAGTGCGCCATCTGGGGGAGGATGGATAACGGTAGAGGCGCGAGCTGCGCCAGCTGGAGGTGTGCTTGTTGTCGTCACAGATAATGGCCCGGGATTACCCCTTATTGTGAGTACATCGGTCCTCTGAAGCTTGCACCTTCTGGTTCCTTCTTTTTTTTTTTCCTTTTCTTTTTTTTCCTGTCATGTGTCTTCTTAAAAGTTAATAGTACTCAAGAGTCAATACCTCTTTTTCAAAGTTTTTTCCCTAATTTTGACCATTTCTCGATTTATGCGTGTCATCCTTGTGCAGGCCCCATGCTAACCTTTTCTGTATCAACGGATGTCCTGATGGACCTTAATCATACTTGCAGCGCACCTACGCGGTGCGCCATGCGCCGCGCGCACATGGGTGATGCATGCGCATTGCGCGCGCATGGGATTTGTGCTGGAGTTTGCATGCACCCCCCCCGCTTCCCCCCCCCATGCGTGCACACAGGTACATGTGCCTTTTTTTTTTGTGTGTGTGCCTGCGTGTGTGTGTGAGTAGTGTGAGACAATGGTCCACCAGTGCCGCCACATAACACAAGAAACAAGAAAAGAAAAGTGAAAAAAAATTAAACAAACGAGTTCTAATTCAGGCGCACAAAAGACGGCAAGAAGCATTGCTTGCTTTCTTAGTAACGGATGTATCTTGCCATCTTGTGGTGGACTATGCATTCATTTGCATTTCGTGATGCCGCCCTAATGCTGACAGTATCCAGCGAGGACAATGGATACAATCATACAACAAACTCTGGACGCACTTCCCCATGAGGCGGACGTCGGGGCACAAGGCGAAAGAGGGCAAAACTCCACCTATGAGTAAGCCTTCATATTCTGCTCATCTGATTGCATCTCGATTCACTCTCGGATCTGTATTTCAGCAGTTCATGGGTGTAGAAACTGTGCCAGGCCCATTGCTGAATCACCTCGTTCTTACAGATTCAACACCCTGGGGCATTGTTCCACATCCTCAAAAGTCAAAAGACATTAATTATGGCGCTGTATTATGATCTATCCATGTTCTACTCAAGATTCGTTTTGCACATTTGGTGAGTGGTGGAGCGAGACCCCTTATGTTACGAATTTGGGCTGCTGCTGCGCAGAAATAGCCCCAAATCTTATGGATTCTGACCGAGGTACATGGAAATAGCCCACAACGTGCAAAATATGGCTGGTGTAACCTTTCTTTTCTCAGGGGAAGATACTTTGTCATTTTTCACTATCCGCCGTCAATGTTCCCCATTCTTTTTTCTTTTAGTGCAAAAAACATAAAGAGAGAAAGTCGTCACATCACAAGAAGGCAAAAGTTTTTTTTTTTTTTTTTTTTTTTTAATAAAGCAGGGCCTTATGGTCCTGGCTCCTTCTATTCTGGGGAGTGTCAGTCCGGTTCCTATTCCACCGGCAAGTCAAAATGCACATTACATTGAAAATTAACCACGCTTCCTTCCGTTTGGCCGAAGGACCCCTGAACAGCATTGATTGCTCCACCTTGGTGGAGGATTGACTGTCAGCTGGCCGTGCCCCTCTCTTTCCTCTCAGATCTGGAGTACAGATCTGCCATATAGTGCTATGCCTCCTAGAAAGAGTTCAACCTTTGTCCCTGTCGGCCTGTGTCCTCCCCACTCATCTGCCCTGCCCGTAGTGTGTGATAACCCCTTTCCCATTTTATTTGTCTCCCCCTTTTTTAAAACATGCTTTAAACCCTAAACCCTAAACCCTCAATCTGCGAACCCGTATTCCATGTTCTTGTTTTTAATTTTTAACTACCCTATATTCTTCTCTCGTTATATCTCCCCCTACCTACCTATCTACTCCTTAGTCAGTTGCATTTTTTAAATGGAAGGCTATCTATGCACCCAAGCTGGCCGGTCCTAAGAGTTATGGGTCAACCACCTCCTAATACTCCTGCTCTGTGCGGGGGCCAGCACCCAAGCTCCTAACACCTGGCACAAGCTGGAAAGTCGCGCACAACTTCCACAACCAGCCAGGAGGGACAAGCTGACTTTCTCAGTCGGTGAACCCGAAGTATGCCACACAGGGGGTCGTGGGGAGTCAAATGGATGCTGTAGGGAATGGAACCCACGACCTCCTGTGTACCACTTACGTGCTCAACCGACTGAGGTAGGCCGATTCACTCTCATTTTGCACAGTTGGCGAGCAGTGGAGCGAGGCCCAACGGCTGCCAGTTCTGACAACAACAGAACCATTTAATTGAGGACAACGACGCCCTCGTCATTACTGTGTCAGGACACAGAGAGCAAACCAACTGTTTGGCAGAGCAGGACGCTTCTTCATCATGACTGTATAGGACCGCTGAAAAGGCTCAGATACAT